AACTGAGGGTGGGGGAACCACAGTGGGTGGGGTGCCACCGCTGCGAGAGCGGCGGTGGAGGACCCAAAATCAGAAGTGTGGACCCGGAAGCGGAAGTGACAGACCTGGAACCGGAAGTGGTGGCAGAAGGGGGAATCCCGGCACGGAGATGCCTCAAGACCCTTCCGCTGCCAGGACCAGTTGCTCCAGATCTGCCTGCCGAAGCACCAGCACCTGCTGCAGCCACCTCCTGAGGTTAGGCTGCATGGGGGGCAGGGGGAGTAGCGATCTGGCAACCTATGGCTCATGTGCCAGCAGAAAGGGCTCCACATGCCAGCTGTGGCATGCGTGCCATGGGTTCGCCATCGTGGTCCTAGATCAAGCTCGAAAGCCTTGAACTCTACTTCTATATCAAAATAAATGGAAAGCTTTCCTATCCTTTACCAACTCTCATAACTTACCTGCAATACCTGTTTATCTGAAGACTTTACTTACCTTTGTCCTTCATCTTTTTCATCTCGGACTATCCCATTCAACCTTGGAAGTTTATATCTCTGCCATTGCAGCACACTAGCCATCTCATTCTGATTCCGCTAAGCTTTTCTCCCACCTGACTTTGAAAAATTCCTCAGGGGACTCCTCAACATCCGTCCACCGCATCAACATCTTCTTCCGCAGTGGTCCTTACAACTTGCCCTCAATGCACCTTTTGAACCTATGGCCACTTCCAATTTTAAACTGCTTTCTCTAAAGACATCATTCCTCATGGTGATAACATCTGCTAAGCATGCTAGCGAAATTGCTGCCCTCAGATCAGACCCACCATTTCTCCAATTCCACCTGGATAAGGTCATCTCTACCTTGATGTATCGTTTTTACCTAAAGGTGTCTCTGAATTTCATCTTAATCAACTGCTGATATTGCCTACCTTATTCCCTTCTCCCTCTACACCACTTGAGCACATGCTCCACATGCTTGACATAAGACACTCTCTTTCCGTCTGCATTGACAGACTAAATCATTTAGAAAAACACCAGGACTTTTTCTAAGTTTTCATGGCCCTCATAAAGGTGGCCCGGCTTTACCTCAAACTATTTCTCGATGGATTACTCAAACCATCTCTCTTGCATATGAACTAACAGGCAAAACACCTCCTGAACACTTGAAGGCCCATTCTACCAGAGCGATGTTAACCTCTACTGCACTTCATTGTGGAATTAAGCTTCCTCATATCTGCCATGCAGCTACATAGTCCACTCCATCGACCTTTGTGAGACACTACTGGCTTGATATCTGAGCACAGAGTGATGCTGCCTTTGGAGGAGCTGTTTTGATATCCTTCCTACTGTGATGCCCCACCATCTGGTACGTGAGCTTGTCAGTCACCCAATTGTGTGCATTCATAGAGGCCACGAAGAAGAAAGAGGGGTTACCTACATGTAACCATGGTTCTTCTAGTGGTCCTCTGTGAATCCACACATCCCGCCCATCCTCCCCTCTGTCTGTCCCGTTGTCTTTTTTTTAATATAGTTCTTTGACAGCAGCGGACTCTTAACAGGAACGGAGCATGTGCTCCACGGAGGAACGTTCTATTAATCACATGTCTTTAAGCTCTAGAAACTTCCGAGAGGTCCTGCACAGGCGCAGAACAACCCAATTGTGTGGATTCACAGAGGACCACAAGAAGAACCATGGTTACAGGTAGGTAACCTCTCTTTTTAGATTATGTAATAAAAACAAAACTTGTACTACTTTTGCGGAACCCATATGTAAATTTGGAGGAATTTGAGAATTTTAAACATGGGAAGGTTAGACAGCCACCTTTTCCTTCCTTCCTTTAACATCCAAACTAACAATTAAGCCTTTGAGAATACATTAATAAATCATCATACTTATCTGAAGTTACTTATAATAGAAGCAGTAAGAAGAATTAGGGACGTGGTGGTGCTGCGGGCTAAACCTCAGTAGCCTGTGCTGCAGGGTCAGAAGACCAAGCAGTCGTAAGATCGAATCTACGTGACGGAGTGAGCGCTCGTCGCTTGTCCCAGCTCCTGCCAACCTAGCGATTCGAAAGCATATAAATGTAAGTAGATAAATAGGGACCACCTCAGTGGGAAGGTAACAGCGTTCCGTGTCTAAGTCGCACTGGCCATGTGACCACGGAAGATTGTCTTCAGACAAACACTGGCTCTATGGCTTGGAAACGGGGATGAGCACCGCCCCCTAGAGTCGAACACGACTGGACAAAAATTGTCAAGGGGAACCTTTACCTTTTTAAGAAGAATTAGTCATTGTAAAGTATATACACATAAAATACCTTAGAATCTAAGGAGCACTCTATTTGGTATTTGGTCCAGACATTTTCCCCACATTTATGCAAAAAGCCAGATGTTATATTTCCAAAACATTTTGTTATCTTGTGAGACAATAAGGAATGTAAGGTTGACACGTAAAAGCTGGAGCAAAAGGAGTTTCATAGCACATTGAAAGACAAGGAGAGGAGGCTGGTGGAGATCCCTGATGGGAGAGGAATCTCAGAACTATCACACCACCAAAGAAAAGGCCCTGAAGATACCTTTTTGCAAGGGACACAAGATTTATCTTCTGCTGCTTTTCAAAATACATTTTTTTAAAAAAAAATGATTGAAGCCTTCTGTGTTGTTTTGGATGCTGTTAAGACTGCAGTATCTGCATTTTTATTACTGTCAACTTGGCTGCAGAGCCAGAGGTTGGGAGTTCAATTCCTCACTGTGCTTGCAGTAAAAAGAGCCAGCCTATGTGGCCTTGGACAAGCTGCACAGACCCAGAATGCCCCCCCCCCAAAGAAGGGAATAGGAGCCCCATGGTGCAGTGTTTAAACTGCAGTCAAGCCTTTGCTTACAACCTGTGTTTGATCCCGACGGGTTCAGGTAGCCGTCTCAGGGTTGACTCAGCCTTCCATCGTTCCAAGTCGGTAAAATGAGTGCCCAGCTCACGGGGGGGGGGCACAAGTTGTTGTTTGCATAATTATGTTGTAAACCACCCAGAGAGAGATCTAGCACTATGGGGCAGTATGTAAGTCAAAACAACGAACCAAAAAACAAAAATTAGAAGAGTCCTGCAGGGTGACACCAAACACTTCCTGTTCCCAGAGTGGCCAGCTGGTTGTCTAAACCAGTGATCCCCAATCTTTTTGCCTCCAGGGACCAGTTTAGTGTGCAGGTGAGGGAGCACGGGGGCATCCGTGCATGTGTGGGAGGGGCCATGTGTACGTTGGAGGGGCTGTGTGTGTGGGGGAGGGGCCGTGCATGCATGTGTCTGCGTGTGCCGGGGGCAGGAGATTTGTCTTCATGGCCTCGTCCTGGCAAGGCTGTGGACTGATCCTGATCCACGGGCTGGGTGTTGGGGACCCGTGGTCTAAGGGATGCTGATAAGCAAATGTGACTGATATTTGAAGATGTACTGATTGAACTTGGGTTTATCCTGGCAGATAGTCACTGATGGATTTTTCTGCCTGGTTTTGTCTGTTTTTCTTAAGCAACTGGAGTTTTTGACTGTTAACTCGTTGCAGGGAGCTTGTAAAAGCAAAGCAGAGTGTGCTACTTATATACTGTTCCTTGGAAGGATGGAAGTCTAAGTGAACTTTGAGCCAGCTACCTGAGATTGAACTTAACTGCTGCACCATGAGGCACCTATAATATGTGGAAAATACTGTATAAGCCAGTCTTGGCAGCAAGGAATTCATTTTATGTCCTACGTTCAAGCCTAATTTATGGCAGGGCCTAGACTTTGAAATTAGTATGTCCTCTCTTTTAGACATTTTCCTGGGTTCTGCTCTGGTTTCTTTCAGACCAGAGTGGAAAACATTTTTATTTCCATAAGATCTAGCTTGGCTACTCCTTTTAATGTCTTTAAATGTTGCTTTTAAAGTAAGCTATTTTAATTTTCTTTATTTCTGTATGTTTATTTCATAATGGCCAGAATCCTGTTGGCTTTCACATGAGGTTTCTGTAATTTGCTGTGCCTGCATCTTGTTTACCAGCCTTGTCATCTGCCTGATTGTTTACCAGCATCTTCATAATGAGCCACAATCAGCCATGGCTATTTAGACATTCCATGAACACTAATACAAAGGTTCTGGCCAATATGTCTTTACAGTTTTGGCTTTAGTAAATCTCCCTGGGGACCTACTAATAGAAGGATATGAAAATGTATTATTGTCCTATTTTATTTTTTCCTCATTGTTAAATAGAAATACATATATACATTTATTAATTGACAGAGGAGAGCCATTTTTTAAAATTTCACAATCTACCTGTAATTTAGTACTGTAAGACGTAGAGTATGTATGCATGTGTGCGTGTGTAGCCATCTTTTCTTTCTGATGGCAGCATTGCTGGATAGATCCTTGCATTGCTGGATAGGACTCTGCCTGCAGAGCCAGAGGTTGGGAGTTCAGTTCCCAATATATAGTGCTTTGCATCCTGACTTCTAGTTCTCAGGTTCATCTTCTCCATTTTCAAGTACTGTAGGTGGTTTGAAGCGACAAATGTAGCAGCAAGCCAGTCCTGCTTATAGGTGCACGTGTATGATAGTTATGTAAGTGCTCTCAGTTAATGCAGGTTTGATCGTATCACTGCATACTCCAACGCCATGGCCTCAACTTTATCATTTTAATGCAACTTCGGTAATCCTGAAATATTTTTATGAGTGCCTTACACGTGGACCTCCTGAAAATACAGAGTAAGTTGGTTTCTGCAGTGGCTGCCTAAGAAGAGAAATGCAGTGGAAGTTTTCCACGTGCTGTGGGTTGCACACATACACATGATTTTGTTATCTTGCCCTATCTTATGGTTTAATGGCCAGTCCTTGCTTGCTCCCACCCTTCCCCTACTTTGTACATGAATTTGATTTCTCTTTATTTTGGAAAGCCCACATATGTTTAGAAAATGGCGTATTAGATAGGAGTGTAGTCACTGATAGCCTAAATGATAAGCCCCTTCCTAAAGTACATAAAAGCTGTGGGTACCTTTTTGTAACAGGCTTTGAAGACGGCAGAGGAAGAGGGACATTCTTTGTGTCGGAGCAGTTTTGGAAAAACTGATCATGGAAGAGGTACAAGATTTAGCAGAACAACCGGTGAGTATGCAAAAAACAAAACCCTGCCAGAGCCTTAGAGAAAGGGTTTTGCATTTGTGTCAAGTTTTTTGGGAAATGATATAATGATTCTCTGCAGAGAATTTGTAGCTGGGGCTAGGTTTAGTTGACAGGACCTATATAGCATCACAAAGTATATTCCAGATAGTTCAGTTTATGTACTTATTTGCCAGAAAGGGAACTGCAGCAGCAGTTTTGCAATATTGTTGAAATGTTAATCTGATATTTTATAATGTATTCTGACAGAAAAGTGAAGTTTTAATTGTAGCTATATCATAAGAGTGGGGGAAACTATTATTTTCTGACAACTGAGAATGTTTTGACTCAGCAGGTTCCCATGCCTGGAAAATGCAGACAGACATTTTAAATCTAAATAAATATACAGAACAGTTATCTCCATTGTTTATAGCTAATATAGCTTCATGTAGAGATAATAGAATTTTCATCTAATTTAAATACAAATAAGGTTTCCTTTTGCATAATAATGGGATGTGGTTCATTTCAGTGGAACTGTACCTGGGACAGATAATTTTAGTAGATCCAAATATAAAACTGTAAAAATTAAAACTTCAGGTAACTTCTTGAAATGATATTGAGTCTATCACTTTCTTGGACTACTGCTTGATGGTTAACAATTTAAAACATGGTTAGGAATTTGGAAACTGAGATTTTTAAATGTGGGATTTCTCAGTAGGGAATACTGTTCATTTTTTTCCAAATCTGTAATTTTGAGTCAGCAAGAGTCCCAAGGTTCCTAATGAAGGTACATAATAGCAGATAGCAGATGACATCTCTAACATAATTATGTTCCACACTTAGTGGAAATTAAGCTCAGCATCTTGAATTGTTCACTGAAGATCGTTGGAGGGACTAAGAGATCCTCCTTGGTCGGTGTACAGCACATTTCCATTATAAATGATTGAAGATGTCCTTTCAGTTCAGTTTTGTTAAGAATTTCTCAAAATTCACAATTTTTTCATTCAGAATAGAAGGAACTTGATATTTTAAAAATGCAGATGTGGGAAACTCAGATTCATTATTCCAGGTCTGCATTTTGTGTGTTTAACTGTACAAAGTCTACATTTGAACTGTTACTCATACTGTAGAGTTACCACTGCTCTTTTTTCTTAGAGACTCCTGCCTTTTAAAAGTTAGGACTACTAGGCAGGTGGTAATAACAGTGCCCTCCCCTGTTGTTGGGGAAAATAGACTTACTGAATTTGTACAGTGCAGTTGAGGGACAATGTAGTTTCAGCATGTTTTAGAATAATTTACCAACATTTATAAATTTCTTGATATTTGGGACAGCAACAATATCAGGTTTAAGAAGTTGAAATACAGAAGAAAACAAAATAGAGATAGTTTCCTATTTCTACATTTGTAGTACTTTTCTCCTGTTTCCTGAAGAAACTTCGCTGGATAGCTCAGTTGTTTAGGTAGGAAGTTAGCAATTCGATTCCCCACTATGCCTCCTTGATGGGGGCTGGACTCAATGATCCATGGTGTCCCTTCCAGCAGTACAGTTCTAAGATGATGATTCAAAAATATCAAACATAGTCAATCAAAATTATAAAAACATTGACTGATATTATTTAACAGATACAATATTTAATCAAAAACCTAAGTATCTGTTAAATATTAGCACAGAATGTATACTGTTCCTAATATTGCCGTATTTGTAACTCTGATGGTGTTATTTCTGAGATTTGCAACTGCTTATAATACTGTGTAAAGTTTCTTGGTATTGTTCCCAAAGCCTTGATGATCATGGAAACCACCAAAGTGTGTTTCATCCACAAGCAACACGGTTTGATTGCCAGATCTCTGTTTTTTGTTAGTTTTTCCAATTCTTTACAGTATTTTCAACTCTGGCATCCTCTGGAATTGCAATGTGATTTCCAGATCCAAACTGATAGACACCTTGAACATAACACATCAGACATACTAACAGATGATACAGAATTTTCTTCGTTCTTTTACGATGTCTGATGTGTTATGTTCAAGGTGTCTTATCAGTTTGGATCCGGAAATCCCACAAGATCTTGACTTCATTTTTGACACCTTCTCTACCTGATGTTCTCATGAGGTTTTGGAGACTAGCAAGTTATAATTTTTACATAATGACCAGTGCACTAATTTTGCCACTGTATCATGTCTAACTTTGTAATCTGTTTGTCCAGTCTTTGGACATTCGCAGATGAGGTGTGTCACAGTTGCATCTTTTTCTTGGCCAAGTTCATTTGCTGTTAGGACTAATTTTGGATCTTAGGTTTCATCACATTGCTTTGTAGTGCTTGTTCTTGTGCAGCAAAAATCAAGCCTTTGGTTTCTTTCTTAAGGGTTCCCAATTTTAATCATGCCCATGTTGAATTATTATGATGTCTTCCATCAGTATCCTCAGGTGTTGTCCATGTAGTGGTTTGTTTATCCAACTGTTTAATTTATTTTCAAATTGTTGTTTCTTATATTGAGCCTTTGTTTCTGTTTTTCCCCCAAAATATTTTCCAGTTTTAGCCCTTAAGTAATTTTTCTCTACTTTTAGTAATAGGCTTCTTTCTTCCTCCTCTACTACCTGCTTATTTCCACAGCCTCTCATTTTTCGTGGTACATATAATCTGTCCACATCATGTTTTGGATGTAGTGCATGATGCATGCTCATTAGTTTCCGTGTTTTTTGATCTAAATTTTCTAATTAATTTTGGGTCCAATCTGTTATTTCAGCTGTGTATCTAATTACTTGATCTGCCTGTGGCTTTTATTGTATTTCTATCATTTAATTTGGTTTTTAAGATTTTATGCAGGCTTTTAATATATTCCCATTCTGTCAGTTCTTTAACTTTGTTTGCAGATCTTATCTGCTTCTAGTATTCCAAAGTATTTATAATTTTCATCACTTGATAGTGATTCTATAATAGTGCCATTTTAAACTCTGTTCCATATAGTTTTTGGATCTTGCCACATTGTATAAACAGAGCTGTACATTTGTCAATTCCATATTTAATTTAATTATCTTCAGTAAATATGTGTACAGTGGTGCCTCGCATAGCGAACGCTTCGCTATGCGATGAATCCGGACAACGATGGGTCCCGGGCCATCGCTGGAGCGTTCGCTCAGCGATGGCCCCTATGGGCTTTTTTCGCTGTGCGATGATCGCGTGGACGCGATCAAAGCATAGAGAACAGCTGATCGGCGGTTCCAAAATGGCCGCTGCTAAAACAAAATGGCGACCGCTGTTTTGCCTCGCTAACGAGGCATCCAAAATGGCCGCCGCAATGGAGAAAACTCGCAGAACGGTGAGTTTTAAGTCCATAGGAACGTATTAAATCAGTTTTAATACGTTCCTATGGACTTTTTTGTTTCACTTAATGATGGATTCGCTGAGCGAGGGTTAATCCGGAATGGATTAACCTCGCTAAGCGAGGCACCACTGTACTATGTTTAGCAGTGTATCTGTGTGAAACTTTTTGCATATACTTTTAGGTCATCCATGTATAACAGATGATTGATTTTTCCTGCTTGTTCTGAAATGTGGTTGCCCAATCCAGTTTTATTTAAAATAATTGATATGGAGATGTCAAATAGTGAGATGTTAAACAGTAGCAGTGACAAAGAATCTCCTAGAATTATTCCTCTTTTGATGGTAACTTTGCCAGTTTCTTCACCATACGCTATGAAGACAGTTTTCCATTTCTTCTTCTTCTTCTTCTTCTTCTTCTTCTTCTTCTTCTTCTTCTTCTTCTTCTTCTTCTTCTTCTTCTTCTTCTTCTTCTTCTTCTTCTTCTTCTTGTTCTTGTTATTGTTATTGTTATTGTTATTAGCAGCAGCAGCAGCAGCAGCAGCAGCAGCAGCAGCAGCAGCAGCAGCAGCAGCAGCAGCAGCAGCAGTAGTAGTAGTAAAGTCATGGGCCAGGGTGTGGACTCACCTACCTCTATTATCATCTCCATGCAAGAGTTGGCGGTTGTTCATGATTTTGTGTACCTTGGCTCAACCATCTCTGACACTCTCTCCCTAGATGTTGAGCTGGATAAACACCTTGGCAAAGCAGCTACCATGTTCTCTAGACTCACAGAGTGTGGCTCAATAAAAAGCTGACGACATATACTTTACCAAGATCCAGGTTTATAGAGCCTGTGTCCTGAGCACACTTGTGTACTGCAGGGAGTCCTGGACCCTTTGTGCATGGCAGGAGAGGAAGCTGAACATGTTCCATATGCATTGGCTCAGATGCATTTTTGGTATCACCTGGCAAGACAAAGTTCCAAATAGTCCTAGAACAAGCTAGAATTTTTAGCATGTATACATTACTGAAACAGCGACGTCTACTTTGGCTTGGGCATGTTGGGAGAATGGCTGATGGTTGGATTCCAAAATATCTCCTGTATGGAGAATTAGTGAAGGGAAATTGCTCCTGAGGGAGACAACAGCTGCGATACAAGGATATCTGCAAGCGGGATCTGAAGATCTTAGGAATGGACCTCAACAGATGGGAAACCCTGACATTGGAGTGTTCAGCCTGGAGGCAAGCGGTCCATCACGGCTTCTCCCAATTTGAAGAGACCCATGTCCAGTAGGCTGAGGCAAAGAGGCAGCCCCGAAAGCAGCAAAATCAGGGAGCTGGACAGGGGACAGATTGTATTTGTCTTCAGTGTGGAAGGGATTGTCACTCTTGAATTTGTCTTCTCAGCCACACTAGACTCTGTTCCAAGATCTCTATTCAGAGCATGTTATCATAGTCTCTCAAGTCTGAAGGATGCCTAAACTAAACAACAACAACAACAACAACAACAACAACAACAACAACAACTACTACTACTACTACTACTACTACTACTACTACTACTACTACTACTACTACTACTACTACTACTACTACTACTACTACTACTACTACTACTACTACTACTACTACTACTACTACTACTACTACTACTACTACTACTACTACTACTACTACTACTACTACTACTACTACTACTACTAC